TGGCATCCATAAAACGTAGTGATAATCCACATTCTCATGTATGGATGTGCGATGAACACTCTAACCGGAAACTCCCGGTATGTAATAAGTAGAACGCGGGAGTAGTTGTGCAAGTAGTCCATTATTTAGCCAAAATTGAGTCATTTCATCATGTCATCATCATGACTTGCTTTCTTCTGTGGAACATAAAAAATAGATATTTTGAGCAATAGAGAGCCTAAGTCACTCCCCTCCGCTTTCGGCTCATGGGACCTTATTTCAGAAAAAAATATGTATGGTAGGCTAGTCAATGGCAATCTTTTTATTCCGTCTGAACTGTGCCTTGAAGAACACATATGATGTTAGTCAATTTAAAAGATAATTCTGAAAATCAAGAAAGTCACAGATTGTCATAAAACAGAAGAGTAACATTTAGTTTTATGTGAAAATCGCTCAATGAACTAATCGCCTGGGAAGCGAAACAACGAGCAAGATCCGCTGCTCGTGTGTGTGTGCAGTCTGGTCCAAAACACTCAGGCATGACGGCGTAACGTAGCGATTATAACGGAAGACTATGGAAACAATGACAGACGTTAGCTTCAGTAAACTTAGCTTCATTCATTGAGAGAAAATGTGAGCCTTTGGGGTTTGTAGTCTTTGTAATTCCGTATTTTCACAGTCTTATACCTCAACGGTTTTACATCAAACTGTGACTTTCTTGACTTTAAAATGTATCTTTTAAATTGACAAACATCATATGTGTAATTCAGGGAACAATTAAAACAAGATCAAAAAATTTGTTGTCTCTCGCCATTGATTACCATACAATGTTTTTCCAAATTAAGGTCACATGGTGATCGACCGGAAGGGGAGGGACTTGGGCTCTCTATGTCTCCTTTTGATCAAATGATGTTATCTTCAGTATCTTTTATCCACAGAAGAAAGAGTCATACAGGTTTGGAAGGAGATAACAGAATTTTCATTTTTTGGTTAAACTATCCCCGTAAACCATGGCATTGCCGGGACAAAAAGACAGTACCAGCAATCAATGCCTTATTTTACATGACCATATACTACATCTCTTAATCCTACCTAAACAACCACCTTACTAACTATCAATAAGCATTAATTAAGAGTTTATTTTGGCAAAAGTCAGCTAATAGTTAGTTAACAGTAAATTGGACCCTAAACTAAAGTGTGATCATAAATGTTTCCGGATCATAAAACAGAAGAGAGAATCAGAAGTCATGTGAAAAAGACTGAAATAGCGTGAGTGAGAATGTGTGAGTGAAGGCATATTTTCGCTTCAAGAGACTAAATCTCATTTTGTGAGTGATCAGATGGCTGAGATATAGAAAGCATAATCAAAAAGAGGAAGAAAGATCTTAATACCTTTTTGTTTTTCAGTGGTGCGTTATATAACGTTTTGTGACCATCAGCCTGCTGGTGTGTTAACATGCTCTCTCAGCTTCACTGTCTAATTACACGCTTCTTCTCCCTTTCCTTAGTTAAGCTGTCTGTGAAATCAATACAGTTGATTGGCAATTTATTAAAACAATCCACTTCTGGGTACGTTTGGAATGGATTGACAAGTGAGCAATGACTTCTGCTGACAAATGCTGATTCGAAGATAAAAAAAAAAGAAATTTAAAAAAAAGTAAGACTTTACAACTATGACGACTCATCGCCTTTAACTTCTCTGTACAATATTTAGGCAAGTCAAAACCAAGCACAACAGATTTGTTTAAGCAAAGCATTACACTCAAAACAGTCTTGACAGCTTGTGCTATAAAATACAGCCAAGTTCCTCTGAGCTAAACTGATTTATCTAAACTGTTTATGCAGCCCTGGATGTCTTTCTGTTGACATACTTTTAAAGGTTATGGGTTTAAAAGAGTAGAATCAATTATGCTCTCAGAAACATGCAGTGGAGTAAACTATTTAGTTACTGTACTAGAGTATCTTTTTGCCTATTACTTTGTAGTTTTTATAGTTTGTCATTTTTTCCTCAAAATTAATTTTATCTCACAATTCAAGAAAACAAGTCAGAATTGTGAGGTATAAACTAACTCACAATAAAAAAATTGCCTTATTATTATTGCGACTTTCTCAATCCTTTTTCTTGCAAATGGGGGTGTATATCTCACAACTTCGAGAAGAAAAAAAAAAATAAATACCACAATACATAAACTCACAATTCTACACCAACCCCCCCCCCCCCCCCCTCCACTCTCAAATGAAAGTTTAAAACTAGCAATTCTGACTTTTTCTCTGAACTGTGAGTAATAAACCTGCAAATGAGAGAAAAAAAACAAAACAATTATTAGATAGGCCTACACCTTTAAAAAAAAATGTATTCCATATGTAGGAGATGTCACTGACTTTATACCATCTCATGGATGGATGGATGGATAATTTATAATTTATGGAATCATTTACAAAATCATCCAAAGAACGGTGAATGAAAATATAAAAGAACATAAAATCCATATTTTACAATGAACCACAGAAAGATGGAGAGCATAGGTTGGCTATAGATGACCTCCATCCACTGTGCATAACTGGAAGATTCATGAGAGCATGATTTGCCATTCATACAGCTTTCCCTCACTGTATGATGAAACAAATATAGGCTATATTTCCATTCATTCATGGTTGCTGGGTAAAATTAATTTCATAGAGATATACTGTATGAGGAAGATTTAAACATGCATGTCAGATTACATTACAATTACATTACTCTGATTTTTCTTTCTGTACAAATGTTGCCAAAAAGACCCTCAACAGACGGATGTTATCACGATGGCTTGTGGATTTACTATACAAAGATCGACATCTTGCTGATTTCATTTTTCAGAGCCAAATATAATACCACTCAAAAGATTAGGGTGATTAATAATTTTAGTCAGCAAAGATGTATTACATTAAAAGTCACAGTAAAGAAAGACATTAATAATGTTAGAAGTCATCAAAATTCCCTAATATTTACAGATTTTCCAAGATCAAAAACATGTATAGCAACCAGTGGTGGAATGTAACGAAGTACAAATACTTCGTTACTTTACTTAAGTACATTTTTCACGTATCTTTACTTTACTTAAGTACAATAAATAGTGCCTACTTTTTACTTTTACTTCGTTACATTTTGCAGCAATTATTATACTTTCTACTCCACTACATTTCTACAACTTCTGTTACATTTTCGTTACATTTTCTGATCAGTTTTTCCCCTGCCAAAACGTAATCTGACCGTCGAGCCCGTTCTCATCCTAAAGCGCCATATCGGACGCTTTTGCAAAAGCGTAAATATCCAACGCACATGGCACCCTTTAACGTGAAATGAGACGCAGATATATTTGGGCAGATGGCGCCCCCTAGTGGTCTAACCCTTACACCAGTGACGTTTGGTTGCCATAGATACAGTATATCAACCCGGCAGTATATCAACAGCACGGCCGGTCACACTAAATGCGTCTCACACGCAGTGTGTTTATCGTGCAACTCATACGCGAAAATTTGTTTTTACGTGCATAGGAAACACACCGTGTGTAATATATGTTTGGTTTGGTTAGGATTATGGCAAGCCAAGAGGTTCAGAATTACACCATAAATGAATCGCGTTTACTGCCAAACATATTAACATATAGTAAGGATAAGCATGATATTGCCTAATTGCAAGCTTGTTTCAGAAATGGTGACGTTTTTTTCCATCATTATTGAACATCATTATAGGAGTAGGCTATTAGGTTGAATGAGTTAGAATTAAATGTTTTATTAATCATTAGAAAATAGACATTAAGATAATAAATTGTTATGCAAGTACTTTTACTTTTAATACTTAAAGTACATTTAAAATAAAGTACTTTTTACTTTTTACTTAAGTATGGTTGTCATTGTGTTACTTCTACTTTTACTAAAGTAAATATTTATCTGGGTATTTGTACTTTTACTTAAGTACTGAGATTCAGTACTTCCTCCACCACTGATAGCAACACCTCTCACCTTTTTACTAATTTTGCCATTCAGGGATTTACATTGTGTCTTACAGGGACAATAAACTAGTATCGTTGTCAAGGGCACAATTGGGAAGAAGTTAAAGTCAGCCTAAAAAACTTCCAGTTAGCAGCCGCTAGACTTCATCTACACCTACTGATTTCCATAGAAACACCTGACAGTTTCGAAAAAACATGCACTGATTACCAAATCCATTTTTAATGAGGCACCAACTATGTACAGGTTGTATCACACATGATGATGTCAGGCATGAACCTTATGAGCCTGCGCTTCTTCACAATCTTTATCCAATGTCACCTCTTCTAACTATTACTAACCTTGACATACTTAGATAATAAAGTATCTCTTTATTTAGTCAACCCAGAGTCTCAGACAAGAACGTTTAATATTAAAACTATCATGTCACCAAACTGGAACTGGATACATTTCTCGCTGCTTTTGAAAGGGGAAATGATATACGTAATACGTTGTTGTGTTTTGCCCAATCAAACGTGGCGTTTTAATGTCGTCTAGCATAATTAAATCTTAATTAAGCGATAAACCATGTGTGTTTAAACATGTGCGCAGCCTAGAAAACAGAGAGATTAACCGACTAGTTATTATAACATCAAAATATAGATCTCAAACCAAACCGGCTGAAAGCACGTGGTCCTTTAAAAAGAGCCAGTGACTCAACATCTATATGGCTCAGCTCAACAGACAGATAATGCTGAACGTTATCCATAACTCAAAATCTTATACCTCAAGTCTTATATACACATAAACCAGAGAACAAGAAAAAATGTAAGTGTTCCTATAACAACGTCGTCTTTAATGGTATGCAGTCAAGCCGGTTAGAAGTCTACATAACGTTAGCAGTAAGGTTATCACATCGCTGGGACTGCAATGAGGTGTTGATGGGATGCGAGTAGGACATCTTCCGTTATAATTGGCATGAAGAAAATATATATTTACATTTCCAAGCACACCACTTGCGTCACAAAATACATTCAGTCGTTATTGCTCACCTTTCAGGGAAGAAAAAAACCGTCGTCCTCCTCTTCTGTAATTTCCCCTTGTGTTCTGTCGTGCTTCACTGAGGGTCAGTACAGAAACAGCGACTTTCTCTGAGCAAACATCTTCGACAGGAAGGAGTCTTTTGACAAAACGGGCTTACATATGATGAGAAAAAGGCGAGTGGAACGGATTTTCACGCTCTGTTATATAGCAACACAGGGACATACACACACACAGGGGCACTGTGGCATTTCAACGCATGCTCAAAACAAACCCTGACGTAGCGACGCTCACAAGCCCCGCCTTCTGGTGACTCTCGGCCAATAGAATTGTTCAGAAGCAATGACGCAGCACTCCAGTCACCTCTTTTAGTTTCCGCCCCTGTGATTCCATAAATCCGCTGAATGCATCCTCCTTCACACGCCCCCAATCTGCCCCACAGGACAGCATTTCCTCCAAGTGTACTTTTAACAGTAAAATGGCGCTTTCATTCTCACTTTTTCCCCAAGTACAGACATATTTACAACATAGGGCCTATAATATGCAATTATACAAATCATATGCAAAAACAAAATTTGAGGCGCGAAGAGACGGGAAATACATGTAAATATATACATATATAACCTGAATGACATAAACATACATCTAACGCTATTATAAATAACGATATGTTAAATAATGGTACATAATTTCACTCAAGGCCATCCGTGGTGTTCCTCGACGCCCCCTTTCGGTCATCAGACTGCAATGCGTCTTACTTAATTGACCTACATTCGTTCACCACTACATAATGGCAAGGCACCAATGATATGAGCCGCATTTTTTCACGTTACACAATTAGAAAAGCTTCTCTTAGTTTTGTTCTCTAAGCAAACAATTTTGAGTGCAGTTTAGGAAGTAACAACACGTGACCTGTTTTCCATTATCATCATTATTAAACATTTTCATTACAAAACAAATTATGTAAGCCTGATTGGTGAACAGCCCACTAAAAGAACATGTAATGCAGACATGCAGGGAGGTCACTGAGGGAGTGTTATTTTTGCTCAACAGAGGACTTTTGAAGAAGCAGATGAACAGTTTGTTGTCCAATTCATCCTTTGTGTTTTTACTAAGCTTTTAATGAAGGGTTTAAGAGAGAAGTAGTACACCAGCCGACCAGCGACTAAGCTCACTGACCATCTAATATGAACACACAGCACCACTGAGTAAATACAAAACTTGTTTAGGTGCTTTTATACTTTATATAAGACACAACGTTACTCTAGATGAAAAAAAAAAACCTTGTTAAAACTTGTTTAAAAAAGGTAATGTCTAATAGTTTTGTTACATTAAGCTGGCATGTCTGTGATGCACATAAAATCAAATAAACGGAGTAGGCTAGTGCTTATACGTATATGAGCGGCGGATATACTTACAAAGTAAGTCAACATGACTAGCTTTGTACTGCCCCCTGATGGTGTGAATAGGCTATGTTATATAAAATTAAATAAATATGGTTTGCAAATAGGTATTTCCCTAATAAAATAATTAATTAATTGCAAATTACATCCCAAAATGTAAGCCTAAAAATAAAAAGCACATCAAATACATCATACACCACTTTGGTAATCGACAAAGGCTACTACTTATTGGGAAAAAAATAGTTAATTCCCATGGATACAAAAAAGGCTTTATTATTTGCCAGTTTGCTTTCAGCAGCACAGAATGGTAACAAAAGCATACATTTGACCAGAGTGACACTGAATTTTGAACATAATTGAAACGGCTTTAGAAGAAAGAGTAGGCTAACTAACCATGTAGGCCTGCATAATTTGCAGGTCATGCAACATGCAATCATACATAGCGTATAGGCAACTTAAAACCGCATGCCTGTAATTTGAATAAATACATTTACAGCCAATAAGTAAATTGTTAAAAATTTAATTTTTGTTATTTTGGTTTAAACAATTATGTCTGCATTTTGCTTATTTTGTACGAATTCCATTTTCTTTCTAAATTGTCTAAAGTTTTACATTAAAATGTCAACAATGACATTCTCTGTCAAATACTTTTTGGTAACACTTTATTTTACAATGTCCTTGTTGCATGTTACATGAAATTACTGCGGTAATAACTGTAAATGACATGTGACCAACCGTAAACCAAACCCTGATCATAACCCTAAATAGTAGTTAATTGTTATTACTCAGTACTTAAATGTACAGTAGTAAAGTACACTGTAGACAACTTAAAATAAAGAATAACCACATTTTTAAATAAATCTCACCCGGCTGGCTGTAAATGGCATGATCAATAAATGTATTTCTGCTCAGAAATACGCATAGGCCTACGGGAAGTGATAATAATAATAAAATAATAATTCGTTACATTTATATAGCGCTTTTCTGGACACTCAAAGCGCTTCACATAGAGGGGGGGGATCTCCTCAACCACCACCAATGTGCAGCATCCACCTGGATGATGCGACGGCAGCCATATTGCGCCAGAACGCTCACCACACACCAGCTTTCTGGTGGAGAGGAGACAGTGATGAAGCCAATTGGTGTATATGGGGATGATTAGGAGGCCATGATGGACAGAGGCCACTGGGCAAATTTGGCCAGGATGCCGGGGTTACACCCCTACTCTTTCGAAAGACATCCTGGGATTTTTAATGACCACAGAGAGTCAGGACCTCGGTTTAACGTCTCATCCGAAGGACGGTGCTCTTTTGACAGCATAGTGTCCCCATCACTTTACTGGGGCGTTAGGACCCACACAGACCACAGGGTGAGCACCCCCTGCTGGCCTCACTAACACCTCTTCCAGCAGCAACCTGGCTTTCTCAGAAGGTCTCCCATCCAGGTACTAACCAGGCTCAGCCCTGCTTAGCTTTAATGGGCAACCAGTCTTGGGCTACAGGGTGATATGGCTGCTGGACAATGGCTGTGATGTCACTGCTGGATAGCAGACTGACCCTGAACAGACGTGGGAAAGAATCGGAAGAAGTGCTGTCATAGTACAGTACACGAACAAGAGCTAGACAGTGTTGACTTGGTCGTCTTCCTGGTTATTTAAGAGTTTAACGGCCTGAAACAGTAGCTAATCTGTGGGGTTAATTGATAGATCTAATGGCCTCACTAAGATTCGACATGTTAACTGATTTACAGTAGCCCACAAGGAATCACATAGGCGTAAGAGATTGAACATGGGAAATGTTAAGATGAACAGCCAATAGAAATGATACATGAGGTGAAAAGTATAGAGGTTAGAGAAGAGAGATTGTATTCCCTAGTTAGACACCCAAAGCAAACAAAATGGAGACGTGTCTCCAGCATGAACCAAAACACACACAGATTTGCATAAACACTGAAAATGGGGATAAACGTTTCTGTTAGGACATGATATTCTATAAACACATTCTCACACGGATATCGTGTTTTGGAAGGCAAATCACACACATGGAGAGGTGTAATCTGATTTCCCATTTCTGTTTCGCTTGGGTGAATTTTGTATTGTTATAATATTTGGGATTTAATGGTTTTATAACTGACACATTTTTGATCACACTCACCTTGAAGGTTCAACACCAACGAAATTGTGGACATGATTTAAAAATTCTATATGATCTTGAAAAAGTTGTCAACTTGTAGCTAACTAAAAAATGTCATAAATAAGGAATCAATGGTTTATTGTTTAAGTTTTAGTTAGTTCTAATAGTTCTAACCTCGTTTCATTTCAGAGGACATTGATTTTGTATGGATTGCCATCTCATTTAGTTTGTTTTTTTCAGCATCAACTTTAGAGTCCCATACACTTACAATAATGGACTCACAGCATTATTTAAAAAAAAAAATGTTCTGAAGAAAGAAAAAATCACATCTGGGCCAGCATTAGAGTGAGAAATTGAGAGAACTTTGAGAAATAAGAGTGTACCTTAAACCCTTGTATGGCCTTATGGACATTTTTGTCTTTTTCAGGTTATTTATTTATTTATCATTTTGCCTGTGTAATGCGAACTGCATACATTTTGGAACAAGTGTGTATTTTTATTGGAATTTTACTATTTTACCCCCATTTACTTTAATAAATCTATTTTACATTAGTAACACAAAATAGTGCACTTGGGATCGTAAGGACAAACATGTCCCCCTTGAAACCCATTAAAACCCATTAAAATCTTTAATCCCAGTGCCATTTAACTTTAAAATGATGCAGTCTTTTTTAATATAGGCTTTCATTCTGTTGGCAAGGCTTCAAATTTTCAAATTTATTTACCAGATGGTGCCATTTTCTCAGGGTTGGCCTTTATCATATAGATACTCACTTTAGCCCTGTTTTCTGCTTCTATATTAAAGAGCCATATTATAGTGTGTGTGTGTGTGTGTGTGTAAAATATTTGAGAGAGAAAAACATTCTCTGATGAGACTGTCATGTTGTGATTTTTGTGTCTTGTTCCTTGTTCTTGTCTGTCATGTGATTCCCTGATTGTCATGTGATCCTGCCTTGTGTCTGATCATTACGTGTTCCTTGTCTTGTAATTAGTCTGTGAATATTGCCCTCATGTTTGCCCTGTGACACAAAACCAAATTTTTAAAAGACACAAGGTTGTGGAATAGAATTTAAATAATTATTAAATGACATGATGACACACACTCCTGTACAGTAGGTGGCGGTATGCACCTAAAAGTTTTTTGCAATCCGCCATTAAAATAATAATAATAAGAAGAAGACACAAAACCCACAACATAACAGAGACCAATGCTGTGTCTGAAATCACTCACTACTCACTATATAGTGGACTATATGAGCTCGCCATTTTGTAGTGCTGTCCGAATGTATAGATTATTATACCCTATATAGTCCACTCAATGTATCCCAGAATGCATTTTGAAAAGTAGTGTACAACCGATGGTCACTAACCCAAGCCGTACATACCATTATGCATTGCGCTGATCGTAAAAAATAAGTTATAATCATGTGTGGAGTAGCGCCGTATAACAGAAATGTCCAGAAATGACTTTTAGTTTATACATTTTCGGAGAAATAAGCTCAATATAATGCATAGACATACAATAGACCTCACCTTGGCTACTGCAGTTCATTGGAACGAATGCGTCAATAAAGCCGCCATCTTGAAACAGGGGAGCCTCTCCACTTTAATGCATCAGCGGCAATGTAGTAGACACAGGTCTAATGGAAATAAAATCACCATAAATCATCATGAATGCGATTTTTCTTATTTTTTTTTTTTTTGGTTCGTTCCAACGGTCAAACATGTGTTTATCATTGATTCCAGAAAGAATTGTTTTTTTTTTTTTTAAACATTCTTCCTAGTTCAGATTTCATCCGTGAACATCATACGCTGCACAAAAGTCCGCCACCATCAATGAATTCGAAGTAAAGGCAGAGATAGCAGCGTTACCTATATACTTCCTATGACAAGACCCCTGTTCCAAGATGGCGGCGGTTTTGACGCATGCTTAGAACCCTAAGGTGAGGTCTAGTGTATATGTCTAAGAATATAATGTAATGTAGACTATTTATTTTAAAATAAATAAATAGTGTCCGAAAGTGGTGTTTCTATTATGCTGGTGAGCTCAATATATAGTGCTCTGCTCTCTACCCCCTATAGGTTGTAGGGAGTAGTGGTGTGAGTGGAGATTTTGGACAAAGCGCAAGCTTCGCATTTTTATTAGTTTTTTGACATTTTTGTCCTCTATGAACCTATGTGTAACTTTTTTTTTTTAATTTACACACAAGGGTTGAGAATGGCCTTAAGGAAAAGCACTACGAATAACCACTGTCATTGGCTAAATGACACAACTTCCTGTCTTTCTTTGGAGTGAGTCTATCATTAAAAGCATCTGTAACATTAAGAGAACCACACTGGTTTTGATCAAGAGTAGTGCATCTTTTATTCATTAGATCTACATGAATCTGCATCTGTTCCAACAAAATGAACAAAAAACAAAACAATAATAGCTTTTACAATCTGAAAGTGAACTGAAAAGAAACTTTTAATTTACTCTGAACTTTTTAACTTCACGTTAGTTGTAGTATTTATTCTTTTATAGGTGTACAATATTTATAAAATGCTATTGTTGCGTAAAGTTACAATAACTGCCCCATATTCCGGATAATACAACTGTCTCATAAGCAGGAGATGCTCAAAGTTGTCAATCGTGTATACTGTACTTCATCAAATAATAATAAATAAACTTTACAAAACAATATCTAGGCAAAAGAAAAAAATGAAGATAAACAAGCCTCTCATACAGTATATTTATATCAGTCTGTTTCAAATATATATAACAAAATCCAAATTATTATTATTTTTTAACATAAGCATAATAACATATGTAAACCACATTTTTAATAACCTGGACATGTTCATTCATGCCCAAACCCTGCATTCCATTAAACACTGCCTGACAAATAAATACATTCCTGAAAATAAAACACATATTCCAATACTTCTAAATTTCCTATACTGTAAATATAATTTATATATATACCGCATTGCTGTGCAAGAATCAAATGTGACCAAACAAATTATCCTGGCCCCACTGACATGTGCAATACAGGTTTGAGCAGAACTTATAAACACTGGCACACTATCTAACTCCACGCATACTGTTGCTTTAGTTTGCTTACAATTTTCTGTGGGACCTACTGGCTTACAAGGAAGAAAATGTACAACTTTTGTCAGTCTCCATGCAAGAAAATCACAAAAATCTCACATATCTGGACAGGCATGCTTCAGGTCGTTCTTCATCACATTTATTTTGTTCTTTTGGTGAGTATTACGTGTAGTCTCGTGCTTCAACTCATTGGTCATTGGTGCTAGATGCTCCTTTGGGTCCCTTGAAATCCATAGTTGCTTTACTGTCCTTCAAACTATGGTGTCTTGGAAGGTAAAGATTGAGTCTTGTAATGTCCCTTATTCATAAGGCAGAAGAAAGCAGTCCGAAGTGTTGGAGACTCCATTGGAATCCATCAACCAGTGATGCAAAATGATCAGAAAGTTCCACCACATGGTTGCCAGTATTTAGCAACAGGAAGGATCCCAGCCGTCCAGGCTTTTCTTATTGAAAGTAGTCCTGCTGTGAAGTACAAACTGTGAAGCCATACCGTAGGCTATGTGTTGGTCTATATAGGATTCTACAGAGTGCAGCAGGCATGGGAGTAGTGCTACAGGACAAGACAGAGAGTGACTGCTGTGCTAGTTTGGTATATAGACATGTGGAGAGAACTGGTTTGGGAGATTGAGGGCTGTATTAGCTTCAGATTGCTCCAAACCCGTCCTATATCACATTTTCGAAGAGCTGCATGGAGTTCATGATGTTTTCATCCTGGAAAGCAGAAAGAAACAGTTATGGCCGCTTGTAATGGTTGGTTGGTTGGTTGGTTGGTTGGTTGGCATCATTCTGTTTGTTTAAAAGCAGAGGCTGTTTTCTTTTGACATATTGTTTAGATATTCATTCATTCATTCATTCATTCATTAATATCAACAAAATAATTTTTGATATATGCCTTATACATTTTGTGAAAATTATCAAAAATGCTGGTGGTGGATGGCAACTATTTACATACCTTTGAATTGAATGTGATCATTTACATAAAAATGCTAATATACACTCACCTAAAGGATTATTAGAAACACCATACTTGTGTTTGATCCCCTTTTGCCTTAATTCTACGTGGCATTGATTCAACAAGGTGCTGAAAGCATTCTTTAGAAATGTTGGCCCATATTGATAGAATCTTGCAGTTGATGGAGATTTGTAGGATGCACATCCACGGCACAAAGCTCCCGTTCCACCATATCCCAAAGATGCTCTTTTTGATTGAGATCTGGTGACTGTGGGGCCCATTTTAGTACAGTGAACTCATTGACAGGTTCAATAAACCAATTTGAAATGATTCAAGCTTTGTGACATGGTGCATTATGCTGTTGGAAGTAGCCATCAGAGGATGGGTACATGGTGGCCATAAAAGGATGGACATGGTCAGAAACAATGCTCAGGTAGGCTGTGGCATTTAAACGATGCCCAATTGGCAACATCCCCCACACCATTACATCACCACCACCACCCTGCACAGTGGTAACAAGGCATGATGGATCCATGTTTTCATTCTGTTTACGCCAAATTCTGACTCTACCATCTGAATGTCTCAACAGAAATCGAGATTTATCAGACCAGGCAACCTTTTTCCAGTCTTCACCTGTCCAATATTGGTGAGCTCTTGCAAATTGTAGCCTCTTTTCTATTTGTAGTGGAGATGAGTGGAACCTGGTGGGGTCTTCTGCTGTTTTAGCCCATCCGCCTCAAGGTTGTGCGTGTTGTGGCTTCACAAATGCTTTGCTGCATACCTCGGTTGTAACGAGTGGATATTTCAGTCAAAGTTGCTCTTCTATCAGCTGATGACCTCTAGCATCAACAAGGCATTTTCACCCACATGACTGCAACATACAGGATGTTTTTCCCTTTTCACACCATTTTTTTGTAAACCCTAGAAATGGTTGTGCGTGAATTTCCCAGTAACTGAGCAGATTGTGAAATAATCAGACCACGCTTGAAATTGCTTAAATCACCTTTCTTTCCCATTCTGACATTCAGTTTGGAGTTCAGGAGATTGTCTTGACCAGGACCACACCGCTAACTGCATTGAAGCAACTGCCATGTGATTGGTTGATTAGATAATTGCGTTAATGAGAAATTGAACAGGTGTTCCAAACAATCCTTTAGGTGAGTGTATTAAATAATGCAAACATTGATATCTAAAGGGATTTGTGAATATTTACGCATGCTTTATCTCTGAACTGAATGTGATAATTCACACAAGAATGGATTAATTCATATTTATTCATTTTGACATTGTTAGGAATGCGATAATTTTCATAAAATGGATTCACAAACTATTTACAAATATTTTAAAATTGAAATGAATGTAATGATATAAATGACGTAATGTAATGATATTTGATTTTGTGACCATTCAAAAGAAACAGTTATATGAACAATGTACTGTACAAAAAATCTGAATGCGATAATTTACAAAAGAAGCATTTTACGAGCAATTCACATACATTTTCCATTTAGCTGAAAGTGATCATTAACATAACAATGGTTTTATGAACTATTTACTCAATTGTCATGTCAAATTGAATGTGATCATTTAAAGAATGTATTTTTTTTTTTATTTATGTAAGAATGGTTACAAACATTTCAAGCCAAAATGTGTGAGTAAATACTAATATCAACTTACTTTCTGACAGGTCTCAATAAACTCCTCAATGGTGACCACACCATCTCGATTTCTGTCCATTTTCTACAAGAAATGTATAAAATTTAGATGATCTTAATACTCTAGTAAGATTGTGTGTGTTCATATACATAAATGTGCTTGTTATTGGTACCTGGAAGAACTTTTCTACATGTTCAGATGGAGCTTCATCTCGCACACTGGGGTATGTGTACCTGCCCATCATGTCGTAGATTGACTTCATGATTAACAGCATCTCCTACATGCACGCAAACACACACATGCCACTTATTACTCATTGAGTCCTCTTGACAAAAGTAACAGTGAAAGAACCCCTGGAGCATTATAGCATAAAGGTTTGGTGAGCACCTCTTTAGTGATGTAACCATCTTTGTTGATGTCGTAAAGGTTGAAAGCCCAGTTGAGCTTTTCGGTGACAGATCCTCTCAGCAACACGGACAGACCAATCACAAAGTCCTGCCAATGAGAGCAGCCGAGTCAGGGAAAAGGTAACAAAGGGTATTACAGAAACACTAAAGCCCCTTTCACACAGAGCGTTGATCCCAGAAAATTGCCATAGAATTGCTGGAGTGCCTTCTGTGTGAACATGAAGACGTCCCGGGATTGATACAAGGATAGGCACCTACTGTAGTAACATTACTGGGATCAGTCCCGGAATGCGCCCAGTGTGAACAAAAGGCAGGACCAATGTCGTAATGTTGTAGTGAGGACGCTGAAGCTGAGATTGTTTACCAGTCTAGTGGAACGGTACGCGATGCAGTATTTTATGATCGAATCAGAAAAAAAAAAACGCACGAGCGTGGAGAGAGAAAGAAATTGCAGTTCATAAGCAAACTTAAAGTCCCCATGAAATCAGAATTTAAGTTTTTTTGATTTTAGGATGAATATGTTAGCCTTACTGTTACCTAAGCTAGTGTGCTTCCAAAACAACGACAAAATTCACATTTACAAGATGCATGCATTCAAAACTACAGTCTCTCACTTCTGCCAATAGACCATTTCACAAGATGTAAACAACACTGGTCCAGAAACACTTCCTGTTTCAGTTTGTAACTGTTTTCTTTATTTCACATGTAAAGAAAATATCTTAAAGATGTTTGTTTAACTTTTGATTCAGTTTTAAATGTTCTGTTGGTTGTATTTTATCCCAGATTTTATGTAGTGTTAAAAAACTAAAACAGGAATTGCTTCTGGACCAGTGTTGTTTACATCTTGTGAAATGGTCTATATGGATCAATGATTTTGATGACATCACTCTGCACTTCAGCTTCTCATCAGACTTCCTGTCCAATCAAAATCTCTCTAGAATCTGAAGAGTCCCGCCCACTAAATTATAAATAAACGCTGAAGCTGCGGCCGATATCAGTCACTTGTTTGCACATTTACTAATTTACTATCTCTAGATGAGGGAACGATCGCGTAAACTAGCTTACGCTACGGGAATGATTAATCTTTTCTCAGATATTGAAACCAAAAACGTATCCTTAATTTTTGTATCCATTGTCAACGCAGTGCAGCAGCTGCAGACAATGAGCGAGCTAGCTAGCAAGCTCATTGGTTGCTCTGCGGCAACTGCTGCAGCCTATAGACGAACTTGAGTGATCTCGTGTCCAATGAGAGGCGCTCGCGCCGTCATTGCATCATAGCCCGCCAGAATGGGTGTGACTAGAGTGTATATAAGCAAGGTTCGTAGGCTGCATCCCTTTTAGCGAAGCTCTTCCAATAACTCAGAAAAGATGAATCCCGTAGCGTAAGCTACAGGTAGCTTACGCAATACGAGAGAACCTCTCGTAAGAAAACTAAATGCTATTGGCCAATTTTTAAAAGGGGAGGAGTTGTTCGATATGTCCCATCCTGTTTTCCTGATTCAGTGGAAATTCTGTCAACACATTGAATAATGCATTCAAGACACTTCAGCAGGCCTTCGAAGATATTACATGTCACATCCTGATGTCCCGTGTCTTTACGGGATCTTTACAGCATGTGTGTGAACGCATGCACAGATTACAGAAAATCACTGGCAGTGTGAATGAACCAAAATCAAACGATACTGGAACAAATCTCGAGACACATCATCTGTATATTTTTTGGAATCTCTGTGTGAAAGGGGTTTATGAGTAAAGAAATTCTCACCTCAAAACGAATTGAGCCATTTCTGTCAAGATCAAATGCATTAAACAGGAAATGGGCGTATGTGGTGGCATCTGAGGGAATAATGAAAAATAGATCAGTAAGATATAAAACTTCAAATTAGTCTTCAATCTGACTGCTAAACCAATATACAGATGATTTAGTGAAAAACATTTGTATTTACCTCCTTGGGGAAAGAACTGAGAGTAGATGGTCTTGAAAGTTTCCTCATCAACCAAACCACTTGGGCACTCCTTAAATGGAAAGAGAGGCACATCTAATTAAACATCTAATTAAACAGATAATGGACTAATTCTCACTGTGCCACATCGGCAGCTCATGAAGGCTTTAAATAAGAGCATTGTGCTAATTTTTTGCCCTATATTGTACACATCTGCTTATGCAAACAGAAAGAACAACATTTTTATTTCAAAGCTTTTCTTTAAATATGAATTATACTACTATTAATTGTGCTGCAGACATGAATGATAACTCAATAGTGCTGCTTCTTGAGAATATGTGTGCTAATACTTTTTAAATAATCAGGTTGAGTTGTCACCTGTTGGACATTAGGATGGGTGAAAGAATTACACTTATGTTAAGGGAGGAACTCAAGTCCAGAATATTTGTGATTAGACTCTTTTGACTTGATGGGCCAGTGAGAAACCACTTAGCAAGCTGTTACGGTTTGGGGTTTGTATCTTGTTCCTGGTTCTTGTCTGTAATGTGATTCCCTGTTTGCCATGTGTCTTGTCAATTGTTAATTGTTAATTGCCAGAAGGGTCTTCTCCGCCCTGGCGAGCTAGAAGGGTTTTCTCCGCCCTGGCCACCCAAAGGGTCTTCACCGCCCTGGCCACCCGAAGGGTCTTCTCCGCCCTGGCCGCTCGAAGGGTCTTCTCCGCCCTGGACGCCTGAAGGGTCTTCTCCACCGTGGCCGCCCGAAGGGTCTTCTCCACCCTGAACCCCTGCACAGCCTCGGGGTTTGTCACGGTTTGGGTTTTGTGTCTTGTTCCTTGTTCTTGTCTGAGGCCCCGTTTACACGAAGGGAAAACGCAGATATTTCCCTGCGGATTGGCCTCTCGTTTACACGAAAAAACCCCGAAAACGATTATTTCTAAAAACTCCGGCCAAATTGGAGATTTCTGAAAACGGCGGTTGTGTTGTCGTGTGAACTGGGAGAAACGGTGTTTTAGGTTCTCTCTTGTGGATTCTGAGGCTTCTGATTGGCTTGCATGGCTTTATCCTTAACCCCTACACTGCCACCAATAGGTTTGGCATAGTTATGATGGCGCTCGAAGGCATATTTATGCGGGTGTGTAAACGATTTTATTTTTGAAAATGGAGAGAAGGAAAATATTCATTTTGCAAAATACCCGGCTTTTTGTAAACGTGGCCTGACATATGATTCCCTGTTTTCCATGTGTCTTGTCAATTATTAATTGCCTGATCATTGTTCCCAGGTGTTTCTTATTAGCCACACCCTCTTGTTATTTTGTTTTCCTGCCTCTAGTTCAGTCTTTGTGAGTTCTTGATGTTATAATGGTCGCTGTCAGCTGTGTCTTTGTTCCTGTCTGAGGTTCCTGTTCTGGGTTTTCTCTGGATTAACTTTTTTGTATTATTATTATTATTATTATTAAAAAGTGCTTGTTATTGGGTACAAGCAACCATCCAGAATACTCGGAAAACTGCCTAGCAACAAACCAACAACACCCACAGTGCCTTAGAAACTACTTAGCAAAACCCCAGAATTTGCAAAAAAGAAACCACCTAGCAATGCTTTAGCAACCACCCAAAATACTCTAGCAATACCTTCGCAATTAACCGCATCCGAACACAACGAACAACAAACAGTGGTTAAATGTAAAAAATCTGGATTTTTTTTTTTTTTGCAGTTCTGTTTGGAGTTAGTTATACAAAAATGAAATCCTTAGTTTTTCTTTAATAATGCTCTCAAAACGTTAGCTAAAAAAAACATTATACCTGGAATATTTTACTTTTTCTGAAACGTTTTAGTTGGACATTCATCGAATGTATTTTTAAATGTTACTTCTGTAATGGTTGCTGTCTTATGATTGAAATTGTGAAATGGCCTTAGACAATAACTAAATAATCTGCAAAATGTTATGTTAATACATTTATTTCATGCATGGATTCTTTTGACGGCGCTTTAACAGCTTGCAGCGCCATCTGAGGGAAAGTTAGCCAGGGTTCAAAGCGCCAAAGTAAAATTCGGCATTGAAATGGTGTTATTCACCAGTTGCCAATATAATAATACAATTGTTTTACATTCCAATAGTGTAGTATTGCAATAATAATAAAATAGTTCTTAAATAATATAATACAATATTTAATATTTTTATAAATGCCACTGAATACTGACCTCAACATTAACCCTTGTTTTCCCCCTCTCCTTCACAGATACTTACATTTTTGAATCCCCGATAAAGGGACTGCAGCTCCTTCTTGGTGAATTTGGTCTGAGCCTGCAGCTGCTCCAGACCCTCAGGCTGATGTCTCACCGTGGACAGCTCTAGGTCACTTTCACTGCTGTCTATGAGAGAGAAAGAGAGAGGAAGAAGGGGGGAAAGCAGAGAGAAAAAGAGGGAAGGGGTCGGGAAGGGGGTGAGTGTATGGGATGCGGGATGGGGCAAGTGAGCATTTTAAAGAGGGAGACCGCGGTTGCGAGGAGAGAGAGAAGAGGAAGGGGGATGAAAGCAAAAGAGTTAGCATAAAAGTCAAAGACAGGCGGGAAGAGGAAAGAGATGGAGGTTTGATTGACAGGGTGTCACTTTCTTTTTCAATTTGATTGATTGCTGATGTCAATTTGAATTACTTAATTTTTTGAGGTTCCATACTTTTACACTAAAGCAATTATAATTGATGGGTTTATTTGTTTCCTCTGAGCTCTGCTATGACTGCTAATGTCTGGAAAAGAGTTAGCATAGCATAGCATAACAATACACTCACCGTCTTAACAAAAACAAATCAAAAGTGAGAGGGTTATAAGAGAAAGACAGAAGAGAAAAGAGAAAGACAGAAAGAGTCAGAGAGGGCGAGAGAGAAAAAGAAAAGCAGTCAAGTCAGCCACAAAAATCAGAGCAATAATCACAAAAAAGATGAAGGAAAAGAATCCATGTTAAATAATCAGTGTTGTTATTGTAAACTAAAACTATTCAAATGCTGTTTTTTTTAATTGAAAAAAAAGCCGACATAAAATAAAAATATGAAATGGAAAACTTAAACTTTAAAAATTTGAGGTACTAAATCTGAAAAAAATAAATTAAAGCTAAGAACACTAAAATATTCTATGATCAATAAGTTATGACAATGTATGATTTTACATTGCTTTAACTCACCAAAATAAGTTCAATTTTCAACTTTAATAAGTTAACAAGATTTAACTAAATTTAAGTCAGTTTAATGTAATTTAAAATGTTAAAAGTTAAACTGACTTAAACATAAAAGTTGAATGTTACAAATGTAAGGTAGCAACGTTTTTCACAGTGAAAATTACTAAACTCATTCAAAATATAATTAAATACTATATAAATAATATAATACTAAAATAGCACTGCAAATAATGAAGCATTAGGGAACAAAAGATATTAAAATGAATTCAATTACACCAAAATATTAGCTTTTTAAGCTTAAATAACATTAATTGGTGAGATTTATGCTTACAAGAAAAACAAAAATGTAAGAAAAATCAACTAAATATAAGATAAATTCTCTGAATATTATATGCCATTTTGCCTCTCAAAGTATTCTGTTTTAAGGAAGTTATTTTGACAAAATGCCACAGATGCAGGGGCGTAGAATTTAGCGACGTGTATCCAGTGACCCTTATATATCCCGCAATAACTTTGATCAAAACTTAAAAAATATATTTATATATTGATATCCCCATCCCTACCAATTTCAAAATCAAACCTACGCCACTGATGACATCTATTTAACCCATAATATTATTTTATGGTCATGTAAATATATGACTTATAACTAAGCCAAATCAAAAGCCTCCATTTTCAACCAATCCCTGAAATGACGTTTGCTAGTGACTCTCTCTCTCACCTGTCTCAGATATGTCTATGAGTCCGAGCAGATGCATGAGTTTGAGAAACATTAAGACCAGGCAGACAATTCCCACGGTCTGTAACCCCTCTGTCTCCCACCTCACACTCATCCTGAAAACACTCTTTCACTGCCCGTCTTCCAACACTTGTTCTTCCAGGTTAGTCCTGTTTTAGACTGTTAATTCCACAAGCTTCATGAATGACTCATAAAAATCCAGTAGAGCCGATTATACAAGTCCTGCATCGATAGACATCTGGTCCAGATGATTTTCCAAAAAGTCAATAAAACATGGATGAAACAAAAAGTATCTTATGGTGTCATTTTTTCTTAGCCTTGTGTCCAAAATGACTCTGAAGTCCATATATTTGCTGGTAACTCTCCTCTCTCATTATTTCTTTGCCTCTATTCTTCTCACGTCTATTTAAAAGTTCACTCTGACACAATTTTCTGAGGGAATTGAGAAAACTCCCACTCAGGAGACAAGTTTGTCCCAATTAGATTTAGACACAACCCTAACATGAATCTTGAACTTTGACATGATAAAAAAAATTATGCTTTAAATGAGACAGGATGTTTGGAAGTATAGTTTCTTGTAAAAAATGACACATGGACTTAAAGGCAGGGTAGATAGAAATTTTATAAAAAACTTTTCCCCAAATTTGTTTAAACTGTCTATGTATACCAATACATAACTAAAATGTAAGTACTCTGAAAAAGAAAGTAATCAAATCGAGTGTGTCTGTAGTCCTCTCAGTGCTGCAATAACAACGCATTCTCACCCCAAGGCGTCACCTTTGACCATGCTTCAATATTTGACGTTTTAGGCGCCCTTTAGCGTTACTTGCATGACGCGATCCTACGGCGTCATCTAACTGACGCTAAAGGAAAGCGTCAGTTAGAGGACGCGGTTAGGTTTAGGTGTGGGGTGGGGGCAGGGTACACGCGATCCTAGGGCGTCATCTAACTGACGCTAAAGGGGGCGCCTAAAGCGTCAGATATTGAAGCATGTCCAAATGCTTCCCAAGGCGTCAGTTAAGTGACGCCTTGGGGGTGAGAATGGGCTGGCAATAAACACAGCTCATTATTTCCAAACGGGACGAAAGAAATGATTGGCTGGGCGACTGTCCCTCTCCCTCACTACCATGGCTACCATCACTGCTGTGTAAGAGCAGCCCAAATGCGCACACACGTTTGCTCGCGGAGTGGAAGAGGCACGGAAGCTTGGAAGAATCACAATTATGGCAGAGAAAGAGCAGTCAAAATTCTCAGTTACCTGCATGTCAGCGAAGGAAAACCACACAAAAAAGGAAGAAAGTATTTGAAAAGGCTATGACCAAAAAGTCTTTGGATAAAGCAAGAAGTCAGATGAGAGTTAATATCGGCGGGGCTTTCCAGCCATGGCGACAACTGACAACCAGGGGCTGAAAAGTGACGGCAACAGTGCTTTTGTGGAAGCTCTTAACTACAATAATATAAAATACAAGCATAGCAGAAGTTATTACTCCACCACCAGCACATGATGCCATTAATTCTCTATATTGTTGAACTAACGACTGGTGTCGTTACTAGCTTGTTTCAACAATAATGCATCGTATTATGTTGGTTAAACAGTGAGTTACGTTGTTCAATGGGAAACACAGCCCTGATTAGTTCCTATTACTATAAAGCCCCTCCTTTCGAAAAGCGCAGTAAGCTCTGATTGGTGGGCTGTGGGATCAGTGTTGTGATTGGTCTACTGCTTCCAGCGTGTTTTGAAAATGTCACGCCCTTAACCATTACCACAAGACATTATTAACACAACTCAACCAGGCCTTGTTCCCTTTATTTTGCACATTCCTTGGGCTGGAATTATTTAAATGAGGAATATTTTGAAACTCAAAGCTCACTGTAAAAAATAATCCTGTAAAAAAACAACAACAGTAAACTACTGGCAGCTGTGGTTGCCAGCATCATACCGTAAAAATACGGTGTGTTACTGTTTTTGAAATTAACAGCTAAATACCGTATTGTCAGCTACAGTATAAAACTTTAATTTAACAGCTATGCTCTAACACAAAAACAGTAACATGCAGTATAGTTACGGTATGATGCTGGCAACCACAGCTGCCAGTAGTTTACCGTTTTTTTTTACAGGATTATTTTTTACAGTCAAGGCATTTTGGGAGTTCAGAATCAGAGTAGAGCTTACTGATATAAAGAATAACTCCCTGTGGAATGGACTTCATGCTTTGTAATTTTGCAGACCTTTTTCATGCTCACACAGCAACATTACAGTAAAGAAAGTTGAAAATGTAGAAAAGCATGATAGGTCCTCATTGTTGGAATAGATACACACTCATAAGGTGCCCTACATCCTGCTTCCCTTGTCTTGTGAACCAGTTTCCCATGACTAATTATTCTCTCTGTATTTCAGCCTTCGTGATATGACAGTGATCTACAGAGACTGTTCTTCATTTATCCTCCTACTCGCAGCCTTATTCACTGCTCACTTGCCAAGTGTGAGCTTTAAGATTCTGTATTGCACAACAAATGTATGACAGCAGTGCAGAAAATGTCAATTTTCAGAGGGAACAGCTTCTAAAATGCTTCCGCTTTAAATGCTTGAGTTTAGCAGGATTGATTCTGATTGACTGTCAATGTTTTCATTGTTCATCAGATGGATAAAATCATTCTGAAAGGGATTCCAACAATATTGTTTCTCTGTGCTGTTATTGATATAGCTGTGGTGTGAAATCTGCTATTCTTTAATCTTGAGAATGATTTTTAGAACTAAATCTTTATCGTTATCTTTAGTTATCTTTGAATGGGCCTTTAGCATGCAAATATTTCCCAGATGGGTCTTGAACTGAGCCATTCAAGTAATGTCATCAACTGTCATATAGGGATCTTTCTAAACCGAAGGGCTTAAAACCATGAAAATATATTTTGAAAGCATAAAAAATAAAATTAATTACATTTTGAAATGATTCTATATATTACATTTGTATTAATAAAGATAGCCGCAAGCAGCAATCATCAGGGTCCAAGCACAAATGGTCTGCAACTTTAAAACATTTACAGAAAAGTTATTGGGACATTTTGTAAAATGCATTAAAATCAAGAATCTGATTAGTTAATTCTGTTTAAACTTTATTTAACCCAAAAAGTACAATGAATAGATTTTCAATGTTTTCACTGGCCAACCGAATTGTATTTTTTTAAAATATAAAAAAAGTTACATTTTGATGGCACTCCAAAAACGTTTAGACAGAGGGACGTTTAAAACTGTCACATCACTTTTCCTACACTTTTTAATTGTTCGGCAATGTAGGATATAATGTAGCAGTTTTGCTAGTGGATTTTTTGGCCGATCTCACCTGATACAAGACATCTGCTAAACAGTCCGTGGTCATCATAGTCTGTTTATCCTTTTTTTGATGGGTCATGCATTTGAGACAGATATGGACAATGCATTCTCACCCCAAGCCATCACCTTTTGACCATGCTTCAATATCCAACGCTTTAGGCGCCCTTTAGTTACATGATGCTATCCTACTGCGTACATCTAACTGACGCTCAGCTGGTCAAAATGCCATGCTTCAATATCATGCTTCAATACGAGAATGGGCTGGGCTGATATGGACTTCAGGCAGGCCACTCAAGCACATCCACTGGTGAGTGTCTAATAAACCAATCTGTTGTGGCACATGCAGAATGAGGCTTGGTAATATCTTGCCTCCCAGGAAAGATGTCATCTTGATGGCAGTATGTCTCTGTACAATCCCAATATATGCCTCCACATCAATGATACCGTCACATATAAGCAAATCACCCATGCCGTTTGCAATGATGCATCCCCAGATGTTTGCTTTTGCACCATGTCTGGATGGTTCCTTTCGTCTTTGTGAACACACACCCTTACCATTACATTATCTATTCTAATCTATTCTGGTTATAATGAAGTCAAAGGGTCCTACAATTTGTGATTCCTATACTACAAATCCCATTTGCCATCAATAGAGAAATTTTAGAATCAGAATCAGATATCTAACCATTCTTAACCAGCCAAACCTTAACCCCTTGGTTTCAACTCACAACTTGGTAAATTTTCCTTGTCTCGGTTTGAAATCATATAAAGAAACATCGCCCTCTGGTGGCTGACGCTTCAAATCTGTGGTGGACTATTTGCATTATACTATGAACAGACACACAGTTGAATAAATAAGCATTGACAGATCAAATTCCTCTCATGCAAAAGATCCGGCACATATTGATCATTAAGCACGCTTTCCTTCACAAGCAATACTTCACCGTCTCTGATTGCGTATTTGATTCACACAACCAGAAACCCAATCAGAAACCCAAAATAAACTTCACCCTCCTGAAACAGCGTTCAGGAATAGTCAGAGCTGTAGTGATGCCACAGAGCTAAAAATAGTCTCCTGCTGATCCATTGGGTGGTCCGGCTCAAGGGCCAATAATGGACAAAGATTTATGTATAGATTACACGAGGCACTCAGACCCTTCCAGCTGATGAAGTGTTTATTTGCAAGTTGTATCACTGGATGAATATATGACCTTCCTGGTGCCGATGTATCCCTGCAGACAAACTGCATAAACTAAATTGGTTTGCTGGTCTCAGCTGGTATTACTGTATCTGGTCTATGATTTCCCAACCTGCAATAGCTGATCAGTCACCAAAACCCCTTGAAAATAGGCAAACCATTCCAGCCTGATATGGTTTGGAGAAAAGCCAAGACCAGCAAACCAGCTTAAAGGATTAGTTCACTTCAGAATTAAAATTGATGAACATAAACAAAGCCACAACAGAGACAAGGGAACCGAGAACAGAATGAGACACACCAAAGTACATTAATGTACATTCTTAGAAGAAAAGGTTCTATACAGTGTTGTAGTACTCGAGACTCGGACTCGTCTCGGACTCGGTCTCGAGTCCATATTTTAATGGTCTTGGTCTTGTCATGGACTCGTGTCCATTTGGACTCGGAATTGACTCGTACTCGAACATTTTTTTTTTTTAGTACTCGGAATTATTCCCGAGTCCACTCGAGTTCAATTCAAAATATTTTTCAAGATTATTAATGTATGTTAATAAAATATTTCTTTAAATTGATTGACACGGCCAGTGATTGGTGATTTTCTAGTGTGCAACTGCACATGACAAATTGTAATAAAATTACTTTTAACACCACCTACTATGTGGCCTTTTTACCCTAAACTGATCATATTTTTTAAACTCTAAGTAAATTCAGTAAAAAAAAATTTTTCTCTAAGTAAATAAAAGTAAATTAGGTAATCAACCCTCACTGGTCTCGGTCTCGACTCGGACTCGACCGTCTCTGGTCTCGGACTCGACTCGGACTCGACTCTCTATGGACTCGGTCTTGACTCGGACGCAACTCTCTCTGGTCGCGGTGTCGACTCGGACTCGAGTGAGGTGGTCTCGACTACAACACTGGTTCTATATAGAACCTTAAAAGGCATCAGTGCATGGAACGTTCATTCATTATCATTTGTTTTGTCCTTTCCGGATTAACAAACATCAAGACCCTAAAATGTACTTATGAATGCATGTGAATGATCACAAAATTCAAGATATGGGGGTTAGAAAATGTATATATTTATATCATTTTATGTAGTTAATCAATATCACACAAAGAGTGTCACTTCAGTTTTTCTCCTTAATTAAAATTAAAATGTGATATTTAGTCACTACAATAGTTTAATAAACAATAATTTAATTACAACTACAAAATGTTGCAGAATAATGCAATATACAGTATGAATGAATAATAGCCTATAAAGAACCTTTGTGCCAAAAGGGTTCTTTCTTGTCATTATAGAACTTTTTTTTAACATTTAAGGTTCTTTGGAGTTGAGTAAAGAACCTTATGCTTCATATGAAGAGTTCAGATGCAAAAGCCTCTATAAGTGCCATTTGAAATTTTGTTCTAATGACCATTTTTATCAATTACTGAACTTGTGTATTTAAGTTCTGTAATTTTACTTAAATTACAATTAATAGGTAATCTTCATTGCCATTTTAGTGAAATTACTGAACTTAAACAAGCTTGATAAAAATGATCATTTTAGAAGAAAATTTCAAATGGCACTTAGAGGCTTTTGCATCTGAACTCTTCATATATAGAACCCCAATGAACCCTTTTTTCTAAGAGTGTAGGACAAGACCTGACAAAGAACACAGGAAACACAGGGGTTTAAATACACTGGGAAGACTAATCAACATGAAAAACTACAAAGAACTACAAAACATGGAAGACAAGAACTAACAAAAGGTCCACACAAGACAAGGATGAACACAAGACAGGAATAATGACATTTTTAACCACAAATTATCATCTCGCACATCCACGACTTCACGCATTTTGTAATCTCGTTGGAAAGGTCAGGTGGTATACTGACGTAGACGGAAAAAGGTAGGGTAGGGCGAAATTTTCGCCCCCAACTTCAAAATAGTCCGACATCGTTGTTTTACCTTTAATTTATGTATTGTAAACACAAAATCAGTACTTACGCCTACGTCACGTGACCTTTCAACATGATTATGTAATATGTGGCACATCACAGCTAGTGCAAGATGAGCATTTGTGGTATATATATATATTTTATAAAATGACCAATCGTTTTGCTATAAGACCCTTATTCCTCGGCTGGGATTTCAATAATGCAGTTTATTTCATTTATAATTCTTTTTAAAGAACAAAAAACTACTGAGCGCACCTTTAATAATTAAAATTGATGCTTGTCAATAACACAGACCAATTATTACTTCTGTTCCTGAAAGTCAAACAGAAGAGACACAAATCAAATGTCAAGACCATTTAAGGATATCGATCAAAAATAAATAACTGTACCAATAGATTAACCAGGCAATAATATGAACGTTAAAATATGACACACAGATGCTAAATATTGCACATCATACTAGGCTAATATTTTCATTCCTTTTTTCATGTCTTAATAGTTTGACGTAATTCAAGACAACAAAAATGCGTCATGACACAGAGCACGTCCAACAAACAACAGAAGGAAAAGTGGAAGACAGTGGAGAACATAAGAATATCTCCAATCTCAAACTCAAACTATCTCCAGAAGAATTGCATCTATAGTATATGAAGGCGCTGACTCTGATCTGTATACTTTAGAAATGTATGATTGGATATGATCTTGAGATGAAGCAAGGGGTGAGAGGGAAATGGACAGTGCCCTTCAGGACCAGAGACCAACGGACCCATTTTTAGGAAACCGTAAAGAAAGCCTGTTCGATAAAGCATACATAATAAATGAAGGGTAATGTTAGACTGGGTTTTGATTCAGAGAGAGAAAGAGAGAGTGTGTGTGTGTGTGTGTGGTGAGTGTGTGTGGTGAATGTGAGTGTTCAGGTATACCCTACAGTATGGGGACAAACTCTACCCACAAATATGGCAATATCGAATATATCATTGTCCTTGCGGAGGACATTTTTTTGTTTCCCATGAGGAAAACAGCTTATAAATATGTTTTTTTTATGTTGAAAATGTAAAAAGGCATTTTAACAAATGTAATAAGGGACATCTGTATTTCTTTCTTACATATTTAGCTATATATATATATATATATATATATATATACTTATCTATCTAACTAGGCACCATCTCACAGTTTTTACACCATTTTAATAAACATTTGGCCATCATTACTTTAAATTTTATATTTTAAATTTATTTTAAATGGTCAAGTGCAACATTTTAAGCACAAATATTGCCATAGAAACAGCAAGGATATTAATTAAAATTTAAATGATTTTTTTTTTTTAGATGTATAGGATTTTCACTTTTAAAGTCAACTACTAAAACAACATTGTGAGGATATTCGGCCTTCAATTGTTTTTTTTTTTTTTTTTTTTTTTATAGCAACAATCTAATTATGATTTATATTAAGCAAATAATACACATCAATTATGATTAATAAACAAAAATATACTATGAATTTACCTTTTATTCAGCATTTAGTTATTATTTATTCATTCGAGAACATCCAGAAGGGGAGGTTTTGTCAGATTTGAACACGTTTAGGACAGTTTTGTTCCCACCTGGTGCTGCAGTACTTTAACCCCTTTAAAGCCGTCTTTAAAGCCCACTTTAACACATGAAGTAACAGGTATGTGTTGTGGTCATACTCTATTTACCTACAGTAGAGCTAAATTTGTGATAAATTGCTTCAAACTTCAATTAATCGCCTACCAGCCAAATAAGACCCAGTGACCTTCAAAACTCACAAGCAGGAAAAATCTATTATTGCATTCTGTGAGAGTGCAATACCTTTCCTTCACTTTAACACAAACATCACAACATTAGATTTGTTAACACTATCAATCATCGGTGCACCTGACACAACCCTGGCCCCAAGGGCCTCATTGGTCAAGCATATCACCATGACATTAAAGGGGAGGACCTCAGTTCTAGTATTGTGCTTACCTTCCAGCGACATGGGCTCCAGAATGCCGAACTGTTTGAGAACAGCCACAAACAGAATGATGACCACTCCAATGGCAAACAGCTCCATTCCCTGAATACCCATGGCTGCGATGAATTACGACTCTTGGCACAAGAACTTCTAGAACTACTGGAAGTGAAAGTATTATGCTAACACGGGACAAAGCCAACTTGCCGTTGTAGCATGGCATCAGAACAGGACGTCTCAAAAGCAAAGATTAATTTCAGCAGTTGCTCTGAAGAATATTTAAAAGAAAAACCAGGGTATATTTTTGGCAGAACATCAAGCTAGCAGTGTGCATGGGAAAAAGAGTCTGGTCTAGTTACATTTATTTTGGAGGTGAGAGGAGAAGTCAGTGTTTCCATGTTAGGTCATTTTTTTCTTGAAAGCCCCATCGCATAAATAAAGAGCTGGATTGCAGTTCTCATACACAGTCCAGATGTGTAAAAGCCATCCCTGGTCGCAAATGTTATTTGCAAGTGTCAACAACAGACAAGAGCATTTTAAACTCTATCGTGAAGAAGTGCGACGCTGTGATATTCAAGATTGTTGATCCAAAGGTGTAGGTTTCAGTGTCAAGCAAGAGGCACAAGAGAATGAAGAATCATTCCACAGATCCAGACGAGTGGAACGTGCAATTGCGACTTGGAAGCAATGGACTAATTTAGCTGTTAAAACGATCATATTTCACTTCAAGTCCTAAGTGGCTCTTAAATCCGGATTTTGTCGATGCTGACATGGAAATATGAGACTAATGGGTACCCAAACATGAATAATAGTCCATGCAGAAGTCATTAAATAAATACTCAGTTTAGTTATATGCACGATCAACATCTGGCACTGCTTTGGTCACTGCGACAAGAACTGAGGTGGCATCTCGAATCCTGGTCCAAAGCTTTCGGCGATCTCCTGCGTGTAATGCCAGGTTGGTGCAAATCAGCAAAAAAGAGAGAAAAGAAATACTAGAAGTTTCTTCCCATGGCAAGCGATATGAATACTTTGCAAATTGGGTGGATCCGCCTTGAACTAGGTGCAAATCCAGTGAAGTTCACAATTCTCGACCCCATCAAACCTTTCAAATGGTCCATTAAGTTCGGCGATACGTCTTGGGAGTGGTCCCGAAGAATGCGGTTTCTCGTCTCTCCTCCTTCTCGGGGGTTCTACCGTCAGTCAAGCGCCATCATCTGTTTCCTCAGAGTCAGCATCAAGTGCTTTTGTCTCTTCTTTCAACTTGCACTGTACAGTTCAGGTTCTTCCACCCTCCCTCTCTTGCTTCTCTTGTCCTCTCTTGTCCCGTAATAATCTGCAAAGGGCAGTTTATCTTCACCTCTCTGTCTATCCCACCCCTCCTTCCGTGTCTCTTCCTCTCTGCTCATCTATGACCACTCCATCCCTTCTTTTATCCATCGCTCACTTTCCTAGCCTTACTAACCCAGACTGCAAAGTCAAACCCCCGTGACTACTGGTCCTTTTCCCCTGACCACAACTCCCTCTCTCTTTTGCTTCCTTGGCTTCTGTCTGGGGACTTTGGAAAAAGTCACATTTCCAAACAGGGCAGAAAGCCGAAGAGAAGGAGAGATACTAGGGGGATCAGATTCCAGGGACGCCCTCCCCTACCGATTTCCCAGCCTCCATCCACCCACATATCTGTTCCATCTTGAGCACTTTCCCTCTCTCTCTCGAGTGAATCAGGGCAAGGCCTCTGGACGGAATGGGATAACCAGAGGAGACAACATTAGCTCACAGGTTTTCCTGTTTATAGCATAGCGGGAGAGAAGAGGAGAGAGCTATAATGGCTCAGTTAGATAAAGGAATCAATAACGTCTTAATGGTAGCTTTAAGTCAACCAAACACAATGTGAGATCAAACACTGTTTCTACTGCCAGCATCAGCCCATCTCTCACACCTCCCCCTCATTTTTTTTTTATCAAATAGCTGTTTGTCTAGTTAAAAGAGCCATAAAAAGATTATAAATGTCAGATATGACAACAGAACCAGATTAAAAAATAAATAAATAAATAAATAGAAATGGGGTGCTACAATGTAGATTTTTTTAAAATGCAACTGTAATCTCTGGGGAAAATCTTAAAGGGTTAGTTCACCCAAAAATGAAGATTAAGTCATTAATTACTCACCCCCATGCTGTACCAACCCCGTAAGACCTTCGTTCATCTTCGGAACACAAATTAAGATATTTTTTATTAAATTTGAGAGCTGTAACTACCACTACCACTACCTACTGCGCGCACCCTACGCAGAAGTATAAATTGGCCTTAAGCCCTGCAGTGTGAACATAGCCATAATGTGGAAACAATAACCTGAATTAGTGAATGGATTATTGAATGAATGAGTTAATGATTAGCAACAGAAATTTTACTTTATTTTATCAGAATCCCAACGGACTCTTGTTCCATTTTCCATTTACGTTTATACATTTCATTTAGCAGATGCTTTTATCAAAAGCAACTTACAAATGAGAACAATAAAAGCAATTAAACTAACAACAGGACTACAATATGCAAGTACTATAACCTTTCCCAGTTTAATCTAATGCACTACATATACTTTTTTGTGAATATATATATTTTTTAATAAAGATAATAGATATAGAATAGAAGATAAAGTTTTAGTATCAATGGATCAAGTGTTGCTGAAAAAGAAAATGGCCAAGGACTCAGCAGCAGCTATGGTTGAGTTGGGTAGGTCATACCACCAGCATGGAGCAGACCAGAAAAAGGTCTGATAAAGAGATTTTGTGCCTCTTTGAGATGGCACCACAAGAGTTTAGGTAGGAGGGAGCAGAGCCAGTGGTTGTAGGCAAAAGTAATAATAATAATAATAATAATAATAATTCGTTACATTTATATAGCGCTTTTCTGGACACTCAAAGCGCTTCACATAGAAGGGGGGATCTCCTCAACCACCACCAATGTGCAGCATCCACCTGGATGATGCGACGGCAGCCATATTGCGCCAGAACGCTCACCACACACCAGCTTACTGGTGGAGAGGAGACAGTGATGAAGCCAATTGGTGTATATGCATGATTAGGAGGCCATGATAGACAGAGGCTACTGGGCAAATTTGGCCAGGATGCCGGGGTTACACCCCTACTCTTACGAAAGACATCCTGGGATTTTTTATGACCACAGAGAGTCAGGACCTCGGTTTAACGTCTCATCCGAAGGACGGTGCTCTTTTTGACAGCATAGTGTCCCCATCACTTTGCTGGGGCGTTAGGACCCACACGGACCACAGGGTGAGCACCCCCTGCTGGCCACACTAACACCTCTACCAGCAGCAACCTGGCTTTCTCAGAAGGTCTCCCATCCAGGTACTAACCAGGCTCAGCCCTGCTTAGCTTAAATGGGCAACCAGTCTTGGGTTACAGGGTGATATGGCTGAAAAGTAAAGTCAATGACTTGAATTTGATGTGAGCGGCAACCAGTGCAATTTTGTGAGGTGAGTAGTGACGTGTGCTCTCTTCGGCTCGTTGAAGACCACTCTAGCTGCAGCATTTTGGATCAGTTGGAGAGGTTTAAAAGTGCAAACTGAAAGACCTGCTAGGAGAGCATTACAATAGTCCAGTCTGGATAGAACAAGTGTTTGGACAAGGAGTTGTGTAGCATGCTCTGATAGGAAGCAGTTGTAGCAATGTGGTCTGTAAAGTTCAACTGATCATCAATCACAACTCCAAGGTTCCTGGTTGACCTTGACGGAGTTATGGATGATGAACCTAGCTGAATGGAGAAGTTGGGTTGGTGGTGTTGTGTTGGCTTGGCCGGGACCACAACCAACTCTGTCTGCACAAGGTTTAGTTGAAGGTGGTGGTCCTTAATCCAGCCAGAAATGTCTGTCAGGTAGGCTGCGATGAGAGCAGCAACCATTGGATCATCAGGCTGGAATGAGAGGTAGAGTTGTGTGGCATCAGCGTAGCAGTGATAGGAAGCCATGTTTCTGAATCACAGATCCTAGTGATGTCATGTAGATGGAGAAGAGAAGTGGTCCAAGCACTGAACCCTGAGGAACCCCAGTAGGTACATGTAGGGTCTTGGACACCTCATTCCTCCACGACACCCTGAAGGACTTACCTGAGATGTAAGACTTGAACCATTGTAGTGCGGTTCCCAAGATGCCCTTCGTCTTTAAAATTGACAGGAGGATCTGGTGGTTATCTGTGTCAAAGGCAGCAGACAGATCCAGCAGGATGAGAACTGAGGATTTGTAAGCTGCTCTTGCCAGTCTCAGAGCTTCAATTACAGAGAGCAGGACAGTCTCAGTTTCCAATTTTGAAACCAGACTGATTGTTTTCCAGGAGATTGTTCTATGTAAGAAAGGAAGAGATCTGATTGAAAACAGCTCGTTCAAGTGTTTTTGCCATACATGGAAGAAGGGATACCGGTCTGTAATTTTTTCCAGATGTGCTGGATTTGGAGAGGGTTTTTTTAAGCAGTGGGGTTACCCAAAGGCTGCTTAAATGCTGTGGGAAAAATACCTGTGTGAAGAGAGGTGTTTATGATGTGGGTGAGTGCGGGTACAACTAAGGAAGAAATGGCTTGAAGTAGATTAGTGGGAATAGGATCAAGCGGACAGGTAGCAAGGTGATTGGAAAGGAGGAGTATGGAGACTTCTGCCTCTGAAAGCAAAGAGAAGGAGGGTAGAATGTGCATATTAGCTGGTAAGATGTGTGTGTCAGTTTGTACTTTGGTAAATTGGCCGATGATGGTGCTTGTTTTATTTATGAAGAATGTGGTGAAATCTTCTGGTGTTAGGGTTGATGAAGGAGGAGGAGGGTTGAGAAGAGAGGAGAAGGTTTTGAAAAGCATGCGACAGTCAGACGAATTGTTAATTTTGTTGTGATAGTTAGTCATTTTAGCAGTGGAGATATTAACAGAGAAGGAAGAGAGAAGGGATTGATAAAGATCAAGGTCAGTAGGAGTTTAGAACAATGTTCGCAGAAAACATCAGATAACCAGGGGGCAGAAGATATGGCTCTGGGCTGGCCTGGAGGAAAGGGGTCAGAAGTTGTCTAAGTATGATGTTAAAGTGGAGAAAAGAGTATCAGTTGCTCTGTTAGTATCTAGTGTTGAGAACTGATCAGGTGGAGGAAGTGTGGATGAGACCAAAGATAAGAGGATAGGCGAGAGGGTGAGAGTAATCGTTGAAAGGTGACCTGTGGAGGAGTTTGTGTTGTGTTCTAAGGCAGGTTGAAGTTGAAAGAGAGGAGGAAGTGATCTGAGGTGTGCAGCGGAGTGACCAGTAGCGCGTGTAAATAAGGTCTAATTGGTTACCTGATTTGTGAGTAGCTGCACTAGATGCTCGTTTGAGGTCGAATGAGGCAAGCATAGTGTGGAAATCAGCAGCCTGAGGATTTTCTAGGTGGATGTTGAAGTCTCCGAGAACTACGAGAGGAGTACCATCCTCAGGGAAGGATGAGAGTAGCACATCAAGCTCCTCTAAGAAACTGCCAAGTTGACCTGGTGGACAATAGACAACTACAAAATGGATTTTAATAGGCCTAGTGATGGTAATTGAAGGTGAGGTGGTAAAGGATCAAATTTCCAATCGTTTGAGATGAGAAGACCAGTACCTCCACCCCCTCTGGTCAGGCGAGGGGTGTGTGAGAAAGTGAAGTGGAGAAGGCAGCAGGTCTGGCAGTGCCCTCTGGTCTGAATCCAGGTCTCAGTCAGGGCCAACAGGCTAAAACCTGAATGACTTGAAATAGATGTAATGAAATCAGCTTTCTTTACAGTGGACTGGCAATTTTTTTAAAAACATTTTAAACTTTGTATTAGTTCCAAGTAAAATTAAAAAAATATTCAGTAAAATCCTTTGGGACTCTTATTTGACCCATTTTGATCTTGAATTCCGGAATAAGAGATCAAATCAGATACAAATCATCCAATCTAAAAATTCTACCAAAAACAAATAAACACAACATTTTTTTTTTTAAATCTCTCTAATGCCTTAATTTTCACTATAATAATGCATTCTCTGACTAAACACCTGTATTAATGGCTGGCGTCTGTGCTTGTTGTTTAGGAATTAATGTTGAGCTTTTAGGAAGATGGGGCGGGTTCCAGTAATGCCATTAGAAGATGAACATTTCTTAACAGGATCTAAAGCATGCAGGAGCCTTTTGCTGACAACACACTATGGACAAACATAACTCATAACTGAACCTAATCATGTAAATC